AATCCATTTGTTACATAACTTGATGAAGTCCAGGTGCACTTAGCACTATTCTCGATTTTTAGCTCATAGAGACCCTCTGCAACTAAAATTTAAGCCAGTGAACCGTAGAGAACCACAAAACAAATGCTAGGGCAAAATCGTTGCTTCTGCTTCATGGTTTCGCCATAGGCAGAGCCAGCTAGATGGCACTGCGGCTATCGACCACGCTAGGATTTGGCCCAAGTTTAGAACTATAGTAGACATATTGCATAACATTATAAAGGATGCATAGTTTACCATCATTTGGTTTAGCCCATTATATCTACATGGATCATCGCTTTTACTCTAAATCCTAACTACGTCTCTTTTGCATCATATCCATGCATGAGATCCACTGTGATAAAAGTGAAAAGCATGTGTAAAATTTGATGCAACGTGAAATACGGTGCAATTTAGGAGGTGCAAAGTGTAATTACGTTTTTATTTGTTATTTTTTTCTTTGTGAATCATTTCACTTTTTATTTGTTAGTGAATGCTGGTCCGGTTTGAGCAGGTAAGGCTACTGTTCCCTAGTTGTTTCTAGACTTTCTGCTAGACACCGGCAGTTCGGCAAACAAAGGAAGATGAACTAAAGAAAGAAAAGAAAAATAAAGTCAATGAGAAATTTATAATCGAACCCGACATCCAAGAAGACAGCACCACTTCCAAATTCTGGAGCAAACCCCGGAGTGCTTGTGTGCTTTTTGTCTCTTTTATGGGTCAAGCGTGGCAATAACGATAACGACCCAAGTAGTATATTGAAACCTTCTGATATTTAATTAAACTAACCAATGTAGTACACAACACTGAAGAAATTTCATGATTGCAACTAGTTCAATGAGTAATGTAGCTTTTTTTTTTTGAACAACTCGCACAAGACGGTGCGAAGTTCTATTGATAGAGCAGGAGAAAAATTATAAGATTACAACCCTGTAAGGTCATAACCATAAAAAAGAAAAAAAGTATACCACACAGAATAGGAGAAGGCTAGCACCAGACCGGGCGCCACTAAGCGTGACCGACCGCTGTTAGGCCAACAAAGAAACACGGCCGAGATCACCTAAAACCCAACCCTTACAATCAACACAAGCCCCGCTCTATCTAAGTCTTTAGGAGTTAGGGAGAGAGGGTGAGAGAGAAGATGGAATTCCTCTCCCCCCGGCCCTCCGACGTGGTCAACTTGTAGAGACTAGGACGCCGCCACAAGAGGATGAAATCTAGAGTGAGCTTGCACCAATTGGTTGGGGGGTGTTGGTTAAGGGATACCTAAACGACATCTCCAAGGAGAGAAACGACGGAAAACACCGCCGCCGCCGTCCGTCATGGTCTCAGAGAACCGAGACTAGGCTTTCGCTCGGCATCCACACATGAGGGATGAGACGGCACGACAACGCCCTCAGGAGGGGAATGGCGCTTCTAGCGTCATCGTTGCCGGCCCGGCCAAGGCCGGGCTGGGTTTTCACCCACCGCTGGCGCTCACCACCTACGAGTCCACGGCTGACGCCCCAACACTCCTCCACCGTCCAACCTCTACCTACATGTGAGACCACTGCACTGGTGCCTCCCGCCGGTCAGCCTTCGTGCGCCGTAGACCGCACCGCACCCACCGACACCTCCTCCTCCTCGCACCGTGCCCGCCTCTGTCACCGCGCCAGGCCAGCCTCGTCTACCGTCGGCCGTGCCTCATCGAGCCAAGCCGGCCTCCCCCGCCGGCCGCGCCTCCTCGCGCCGTGCCGGCCTCCGCTGCCACTGGTCGCGCCTCTACACGCCGAGCTGGCCTCCGATCACTCCTCCCGTCGCTGCCGCGCCGGCCAAATGCAGTCTTCTGCCACGCCTCCCCAGCTAGCCGCCCATGGCCGTCCGTGCCTCCTCTCGCAGTCGCCGTCGCCCATTTCAAGTCGTCGACACCATGTCCACACCCACCCCCGGTCTCTTCTCCGCCACCTGTTACCTTCCCCGCCTCCACAAGCTGCCACTGGCAACCATCAGCCACCATCGCCAACCGCCGCAGCAGCAGGCCGACACCGTGTTCATAGCCACCGCCACAGCCGCGGCTGCCTCAGCCGCCGCCGCCGTCAGCCACACGGGCGCTGCCGCGGCTGCCTCAGTCGTCGCCAGCCGCCACGACCGCCGCCGCCAAACCGCGTCCACGCCGTCGCCTCCTCCGCCCCGCCGTCAGCCGGCCACCTCGAGTCCAGCCCCGCCGCCGACGCCGCCACCTCCACGCCACCATCTCGCCAACCCAACTCTCCGCCGCCCGGAGCAACAGATCTGGCCATGGGGGGAACCGGATCCGTGCATCCCAGCATCGGATCTAGATGCTGCCGTCGGCGCCTTGCCCTAAGCTCCGTCTTGCCGGTGCCTCGACCGCCTTGACCGCGAGCGAGGGAGAGAGAGCCCCGCCGCCGCTGTCCTTGCAGTCGCCTGGCTTTGCCGGCGGCGGCTCGGGCTGCGGCAAGGCAGGGGATGGGAGGAGAAGGGCGGGTTCGCTGCCTGGGTCGCCCCCCCCCCCCCCCCCCCCCCCGGGGCAGAGCGACCGTGCGTACCCTTTCCCAACAATCTGCCCTTCCTGAGTATCTGAGTAATGTAGCTTAGAGACTCTAGCTGACAGGCACATCATATATATGGATAGCACTATGCTCTATTAATATTAATGGGTTCTACCAATATATTCCATCATATCCGTCCAAAACAATCCGCCATCCATCCTAAAAAAATCTAGCTATGAATATGTATATTCAGATTTATAATCAGGATATAATTCTTTTTGGAATAGAGGATGTAGATTGGTATCAATTTGTCTAGATGAAATGAGAGACCCTACTTATGTCTAAAATATGCTAATACAAGTATTTTATAGTATAAAGAATGTCATGTCATAGAATTCATAGTTAATACAAATTTCAAATATAGGCCTTTGACATATAAACTTGGTATCACCAGGTTTGTGACAATAATACTTTCACAATATCACAATTATATAACTTATTTTCTTTATAAAAAAGAACTAATTAAGTAATTAAAGTTGTGTCTTACTAACTTTTTTCTTTAAAAAAATCCAAAAAAAATCCTCTTTTAATTGGAGGGATATAATTTGCAATGGCCAATGGATCAGGTAGTAGCTAGCACTTTTTTTTAGATAATGAAACTAGTACTAAATGTTTAGGGTCAAATTAAGGAGCTGAAGAGAGGTGTTAAATATTGCATACCTGTCGTACAAAAGTTCCATTTGCTTCCGACAACAGCCACGATTAGGGCTTAAGATCGTCCCCCTCGGAGGAGTGCATACATCCAACCCTAGCTAACCATGTTGCGTTATTATTTCTCCCCTTAATCTTGCGGTGCATTAATATAAGTAGCAATATATAAATATTGATACATACGTACGCTTAGCTGCATTTGTCATCCTAGTACAGCAGACCGGCTACCATGTCGAGTGTCCTATACTCCCAAGTCATAGGTTGATCATGTACGGCCAATCAGGCTACGGCACATGCTTTGGGCACATTAACATGTTAGCGATTAATTTTCTATATATATATATATATATATATATATATATAATATATATATATATATATATATATATATATATATAGGGACTGCCTATACATTTGTCGACAAATTTTTCCCCAAAAATTTGACAGATGTAATTATAGTACAATCGTAGTGTAATTACACTGTAACTTGCATGTAATTACACTAACTATAGTGTAACTTGTATGTAACTTTCAAAACTCTCTCCGTAACATGTTATTTCGGTAAAATGGAGGTCGTGGGAACAAATTCTTTCATATATGTGTGTGCTATGATTTGTTTTCTTCCTCACCAAAACAAATCTTGTACTAGATCTAACGATTCAAAATTATGTGAAACTTACATATAAGTTACACTGTAGTTACATGCAAGTTACAGTGTAATTACACTACGATTGTACTGTAATTACATCTGTTAAATTTTTGGAAAAAAATTTGTCGACAAATATATAGCAAAATCGATATATATATATATATATATATATATATATATATATATATATATATATATATATATATATATATATATATATATATAAAGAAACAAATTAAGAAGATGCGAGCGCAGGTTAAGTAAGATATCTTGCATCCACCGAGAGTCTGTTTAATTTGACAGAACTTCAGCTCCTAATTTTTTATTTATATATATTTTTTCTAAAAGGATTTAAAATTTAAATATTGTTTTGAAGTTTTGTAGGGCGATTTATTGCTAGGAAGGGGCTGCCTGCAAAATCCCTTAATAGATTGCCATAACAAAGGATGATTTATCATGCCTTTTTGCAGGTAGCATCCCAACCGTATTTTGTATGCCGGGAGCATTTTGTAGATGTCCTCCTAACAATAAATCTACCTACGGGAGGGCGAGAAGCTATCTGCAAAATTCTGCAAAATTATCACGAGGTATCTCTCCTGTTGTCCGCCACATCACATTTCTAACTCTATGATAGGGCGATTTATATCTCCCGCGTAGGGCGGGAGTACATTTTTGCAAAAATTCAAAATGGTAATTTATGTTTTAAATCTATTAAAAATAAAAAATATATAAAATAATTCCTTTAGTTCTACCTTTCTCAGTGCTAGAACCAACCAAACAGTTTCTATTCTAATAAAAAAATAGAGCGAAACATGCTAGAGTGATTTTTAAAAAATGAACTAAATGGTTTCATTCTAATAAAAAAAATAGAGCGAAACAGGCTAAAGTGATTTTTTTAAAAAATAATGAACAAGAGGTAGAACGAGATTTAGACCACCCCACAACTCTACTCCAATCTTTACTCCTGAATTTCGAATCCTACAAAAGAGCCTCGCTGAGACACTAGAGTAGGCAACCAAACAGCCTCGAGATTGCATCAGCAGTGGCCTACCAAGCCCCATACGAGCAACTTCATAGCAGACACTGAAAAAGCAAATATCCACTGGTACCGTCTGATTTTGAGGCAGGTCGCGGCTATTAAGAGTACTATATTCAGAAAGCATCACAATGCAGTGCTGATGAAACAATCACTGATAATAACTCCCAGTCGTACATCAAACGTGAAATGCAGACTTCGTAACAGCTGAAAAATGCATATATATAGATCACAACATTAGTAGCCATGCTTCTTGCCAGTAGGAAACAAGCTTCGATCCTTGCAGTACTACAATCCAGCTCGCTCGTGCCATTAGGAAACAAGCTGCATCCTTGGCAAACATGAAACAAATAACTCAACCTACCGATGACAATACTGATTCATGACAGTTAAGATGTAAATATATGCTAAAACCATATTTTAACTTGTGAGGGGTTGTACTACACTATGGAAAGAACAGATAGGAAAACCTACAACTTTTTCAGAAACCTGCAGACTAATCTAGCATTTTTTTTATGGGAAATACTGTCAGGCATTTGCCCAACAGTATGACTCATCTAGCATTTCAGAAACGGAGAAACCTGTACTTGTTCTGCTGCTTCTTTGATACACATTCTGGAGCATCATGTCTCGTGAGGATCACATCAAACATTTCCTAACTTGCAGTTATCAGTAAATAATAATCTCAGAGATAAAATGGCAGAATCTCTCATTTGATATATCCCATCAGTCTGCCTATTATATTAAAGTATGCCACTCAGGTAATCTCCTAATAGTCCTTATAAGACTGATAAGGACGACAGGAATCCTTATAACTGACAATAGAAATATTCAAAATCTAGCTATTGCATCAACAGAGTTCAGTTTATACTGGAGGATAAAATTTCAGTTTATATCATAACAGTGAAATATCCGCATCAATCTGCATAACTAATCCATGCTGACACAGAACAAACATTCAGCTAAACTCCTAAACTCTTTTCAGATTGACAGGAAAGAAATAGTAATCCTCATAACTGACATGACAATATTCAATATTTAGCTATTGCATCCAAAAATTTCAATTTACACATGGAGGATTAAAATTTCAGTTCTAACTAACATTGTGGCAAAACACGAAAAGGAACCACTTCAGTAGTGCCTAAGGATTCTGCGTCCAAGTTTATTTTGTAATCCTTTTTCCACAGGAACATATTTGACTGAAAACTCATACATACAGCTAATGTTCATTAATGTCGAGTACATCCCATGGAATTTGAAATGCAGAGTACCAAGTCCAGAATATTTACCACTAGGTCTTTTTGCTTCCTTTTTGATATGGCAATATGCATTCATTCCAACCATTTTTGCAATACTTCGATCAAAGGTCCATTTGTTGTCAACCTGAAAATTGCTAGCAAATAAACACATGACACAGATTTAAAAGTCAACTCAATCTTAAAAAAAAACTACATAAACCATCTGGATACATGTCATTTGCTACAGATAAGAGGAACCTGTTGAATAATTTTATTACATATTCACATCATTAGAGTAATAGTGCTATGGTGGTATTCTATAGACTACTATTTCAGAGGAAATATTATATCATATTGAGAATCTCTTTTTAGAAAAGAAAATTCCGGAAAGAGAAAATTGGAACCTAAATTTAATTCAGATGGTAAAGTCTCCATACAACAAAAATGAATGTGGAGCTATGTCTGTTATGATGTTGATTCACATGCCAAATTACAACCAAAACTCCAACTTTGGGGGCTTAATATTTGCGAAATTATCACAATTGTCCCCTCAGAGCCCAGGGGCGTACCCACATACATCTTACTGGGGTCCAGTGACCCCGGGTAAATTATTAAATTCTAGCTAATTTATATTAGAATGATTAGTATATTAGTGAATAATTAGATAACTAGTATGTATTGGAACCCTGGTAATTTTTGTTCTGGGTTCGCCACATTCAGAGCAGTGCAGTGGTGGTGGGAGGAGGATGGACTGTGTCCATCATCACAACTCTGGTTCAAAAGTAAACAAAAGATTTAGTTGGCAGCAAGAGTCAATGTAGCAAAAGTATGACTAGCCAGTATTATTAGAGAGAATGTTAAAACCAACATTAATTTTCAATAGTTGACTAAGAAAAACTAGTGTTAGCAGTGAAAAGCATAAGCAGGACAGGTAACTTCTAATGATAGAATAACATTGTGAGTAACAGGTTCGCTTTTGGTATTCCTTTTTGTTGTAAGTTGTAACAAGATGAGAAACAGGTTTGGCTGATTGGCTCTTTTATTTCTATGTATAATCAATCATACGCAGCACATAATCGTTGTTCCTTCGTAAACCCAACATATAATTGTTTGTCCAAGATTAGTCATATAGAGTGTTTATTTGGACTCTTATTACCTATATGCTCTATATATAGACATACTGGCCTACAATGAAATATATCAGTCATTTCCTTCAAAACCAACATGATATCAGAGCCATAGCTTTAAGATTGATATGGCTACACCTATGGATCCGATACCATGTTAGATTTGAGAGAAACAACAGATATATTCATTGTTAACTAACAAGCCTATATATAAAATACACAGGTTCATAAGAGACCAAATCAAAGACAATATACAACTAATCTTATCCTAGCATTGTATATCCTATTAAGAAATAACATAAGTCTAGTGAAAGCAAGACTATGCTGCAAATCCTATATTCCTATATAGTTCTGTCCCACTAACTGCAATTGTGATCCTAAAGTTGATCCTTGATGTGCCAGCCACGTCAATATCAATCCCCACTTCCTATATTTTGGTCATCCCAAAACAACAATAATAAGCAAGGAGCCATCATGCAACTCACTCACTAGTAAACAAGGCATTGACATTATTTCAAATAATTAAAGGAAGCATATATGCATTCCATTTTCATAGGCCAACCTAAGCAAGAGGCCTCAGTGGCCCAAGAGGATCTCAAGTGGCTTAAGTAAGTTCTGTACCACCCATGTATACAATTGTTGCCTATAGTTTAATACAGTGTTTGTTTGGACTCTTATGTTCTATATATTTTGCATGTTGACGTATTGGTCCACAATGAAATAAATCAGTTGTTTCCTTCAATGGTAACATGGTACCACAGCAACAACTCTTATGAGTAGCTCTGATACCATGATACCACTGAGAGAAACAACTAATGTATTAACATTGTAAGCCAACATGACTACATACAAAGCATATAGATACACAAGAGACCAAAACAAAGACAATATCAAACTAGCACGATAATAGTAATGCATACTATAAGTACACAATACTAATTATCAGTCAAGGATAGTGTTTGAAGGATGTGAAACAGGCAGATAGCAATCACTTGTCCACTTACTAGTATCCTCTTCGCACATGACTACCTAGCATTTACTATAGGCATGACTGGTACACTAATTGTAAATGGGCTGCAGCAATGCAGCAGAAGTTATTGATGTTTAATCCCATTTGTGCTGTACCCGAAAGTTATTAGAAAATTAACACGTGATGAGAAAGATTAATATCCAAAGTATGTGCACATAAAGCTAAATCCAATTGGCATATTTCTACAGATATTTAGTTGATAAAAAAATGGTCCAATGTCTTATAAGTAACCATCACAATTTATATTGGAAAATGCTAACATGATAGTTTGAGAACACCTATGGTAATCATGTATGTAATTTATACATTTTACATATATTTTCCCATGTCCAGTGATAATCCTACAAGCTGAATGGGTGGAACGTGGAGTTGAGGCAAACTAGAAGCTACCACCCCTTATCATTTTAAACACTTCCGATAGGGGAAAAATCATTATGTGTATTGACAAGGATGGGCACAACAGATTTCACAATTTTACCATGTCCCACCTGTTCTAACAACTATCAACATCTATAACGATTCTTAGCTTATGAATAAGAACAATAACAAGATTATTTGAGAATGTAATTGGTACTCATGCATGTAATGTATGCATTTCATATATATTTTCCATGTCCAAGGATAATCTTACAATTGAAAGTAGTGGAGAGTGGGTTTGAGACAATTAGAAGTTGTATGTTTTGTAGCCACCACCTTTTCATTTTAAATACTTACACAAGAAAAAATAGTACGCATACTGATAGGTAAGAGCACATAGTTATACTAAGTTACATCTGTTGTAATATGATATCCTACAAAAAGCATCAGATTCAGAAAACAGACCGCGTGACATGATTAGATGATACTAAAATGTAGTAAATGATTAGCAAGCAAAGCATACATACGGGTTATTCCAATCTGTAGTATCCTCATTAACAAGATCTGTCCACTTCATTCTACCCTTGAATCCAAAGCGCTTCACTTGCATAACCTTTGGCAAGATGGTTTTGTCCATCATGTCTTCTCCAGTGGGTGTAGAGAAATCACACTTTATATATCATCTGAACCAAATTATTTGAATGACATCATCAGCTTTCTCCAGGAAGAAGGCACCCTTCTGGTAATATTTTTGCATGAACCTCTGCTTCTACTTCAACTGTTCAAGCAACTTTACATTCATCCTCACCCATTCCCTGCACTCCTCTGTCATGTTCCTAACCTTCTGAATCTTCGCCCTCTCCCTCAAGGCCTCAACATTGCCTCTCTTTCCTCTTTATCCCTCTTAGTTCTCGCAATCTCCCGATTCGTCCATGCCTCATACTCCTCCGCCTTATTCTCCTCATCATCTGTATTAACTTCAATTTCAATATCAGACTCTTCGCTCTTAATAATCTTATTAATCCGCAACTCATTCCTAGTCTCCTCCACCACAATCTGCCTCGTCTCAATCTTCCGCTTCTTTATCCTCTTCATGAGAACCTCCTCGAGTTGCCGAGCAACATCTTCTATCCGCTTCCTCTCCGTGATTGTGACCCGCTGTGTCTTATGTATGAAGATCGGCTTCAGCAAAGCGAGTCGATCCCGTACTCAGATTCGTCCCCGGAGACATCTGCAGCCACCAGCTTCTCCTCCTGCTGCTGCGCCGGTAGCTCCTCCTTCTCCCGCTCCAGCAGCAGCAGCCGCTCCCGGATCCGGCGCCTCCTCGTCCTCCCCATAACGCTCCTCGGCCGTGGACGCGACCTCCGCCTGACGGACGACGCGGCGCTGGTCGGCGCGGGCCTCCTCCCGATTCACGGCGCGCATCTCCGAGAGGCGGCGGTCGTCCCCGCTGACGCCGACGACGATGCCGTCGTCGTGGCGCGAGAGGACCTGGTGGAGGGCGGCGCGGCAGGCGGGGAGGTCGAGGCCGTCGCCGCCGGGCTCGGATCGTCGGCCCACTCGGGGGCCTTCCCGGGCCGGTAGCGCCTGACCCTGGTCTGGCCAATCCTTCCTCGGGGCTTGTCGCGCACCGCGATGGCGGCCGCCGGCGAAGCGGGCTAGGGCAACTCTAGGGTTTGCGAGGCGAGGCGGATGAAGTGGAATTGGATGGTGGCGGCGCGGTGGTTCGGGCGCTTATAGCTGGCGCCCGCGACCTGCGGGCCGCAGGATCAGAGTCGGAATCGGAGTTTTAGATGGGCCAGCCCATTTTTGTTTATTTGGTTAAGTATAATATTTGAGCAATAGAGGTGTTGAAGTCGTCGATATGTCCGAGTGGTTAAGGAGGTAGACTCGAAATCTACTGGGCTTTGCCTGCGCAGGTTCGAATCCTGCTGTCGACGCTTTTTAACTTTTTGCCGGACTACCACTTAGGACGTGTTTAGTTGGGGGAAAAGAAAATTTTTGGGTATTACATCGGACGTTTGACCGGATGTCGACTTTTTGCCGGACTACCACTTAGGACGTGTTTAGTTGGGGGAAAAGAAAATTTTTGGGTATTACATCGGACGTTTGACCGGATGTCGGAAGGGGTTTTCAGACACGAATGAAAAAACTAATTTCAGAACTCGCCGGGAAAGGAAACCGCGAGACGAATCTTTTGAGCCGTATTAAGCCGTCATTAGTACATGTGGGTTACTGTAGCATTTATGGCTAATTATGGACTAATTAGGCTCAAAAGATTCGTCTCGCGATTTCCTCCCTAACTGTGCAATTAGTTTTTCTTTTAATCTATATTTAATGCTCTATGTATGTGTTTAAAGATTCGATGTGATGTTTTTGGGAAAAACTTTTTGAGAACGGGGCCTTAGTTCACGCCAAAATTAGAAGTTTGATTGAAATTGGAACGATGTGATAGAAAAGTTAAAAGTTTATATGTGTAAGAAAGTTTTGGTGTGATGGAAAAATTAGAAGTTTAAAGAAAAAATTTGGGACTAAACTGAGCCTATATATAACTGTTTCAGACTCTTAAGTGTACGTTCGCATCAAAGTCCAGCTAGTCAAGTCATAAATATGGGTCTCATTTGCATTATACTTTAACATTGTTCTAATAAACTTATCTAATGGCTAGAACAATTTTAATGATGCGGTTACGACTGGTGAAGTGATACAAGCAACATGTTGTTGTTTGAGTAGGGAACTAGGGCGGTGAAGTGATGGAAGCAATATGTACTTGCTTGAGACTTTGAGTAGGGCGTCGCGGGATGGCTTAAGCCTTAAGCGACGGAACTAAACCAATAATCGGATCGGAAACATGTTGCGCGTGGATAAAAGAAGGGCAATGGACAAAAACACTATCATTTTTTATAATATAATAGTGGATATTAGAGTGATCAAAGTGAGGTGTATTTGGCTGTTAATGTATTGAGATTATCGTTTTCAACCACAGTTTTTAGTTTGTCTGTTAATCAGAGGTTAGTCAATACATGCCTCTGACACCTAACAGTTTGTAGAATATAAAATCAGTAGGTATTTTGAAATGTGATATATACAATTCTTATTGCTCATGAATAGAATGTTGGTAAATGGACAAAACTTAAGGGCCCGTTTAGTCCAAAAACATTACATCGAATCTTTGGACACATGTATGGAGTATTAAATATAGGTAAAAGAAAAACTAATTGCACAGTTAAGGGGGAAATAGCGAGATGAATCTTTTGAGCCTAATTAGTCCGTGATTAGCCATAAGTGCTACAGTAACCCACATGTGCTAATGACGGCTTAATTAGGCTCAAAAGATTCGTCTCGCGGTTTCTAGGCGAGTTATAAAATTAGTTTTTTTATTCGTGTCCAAAAACCCCTTCCGACATCCGGTCAAACGTTCGATGTGACACCTAAATATTTCCATTTCGCGAAGTAAACAAGCCTTAAACACACCCATAAATTAAGATTGAACTTCTTTTCTTTCTACCGTGAATTTTGATACCATGGCTGTATTGAGTTATCCTCAAACTTTCAACTTTTTCGTCACATCAAATATTTGGACATATGCATGGACCATTAAATATGGAAAAAAAATCAATTACACAGTTTGCATGTAAATTGCGAGACGAATCTTTTGAGCCTAATTACGCTATGATTTGATGTGCTACAGTAAACATTTGCTAATAATAGATTAATTAGGCTTAATAAATTCATCTCGCAGTTTATATTATTAATCTATGTTTAATACTTCGAACATGTGTCCGTATATATAAAAAAATTCCCCAGAACATCTAAACACGGCCATCATCCCTTTCCGTGTTCGTACTTGGACGCATGCGTTGCTTCATTTCCGATTCGGCTCCCCATGCTAGAAATCCTGCATGACCGAAAAAGTACACCAAAGGTACCTCAACTTATCAGCGAGATACGAAAACATCCTCAAACCATAAAATCAGATATACGAGGTCCCTTAACTATACAAAACCGGTCACCCGAGATCCCTCAGCGGTTTTCGTCCCGGTTTTGTCCTACGTGGCGCTTTGACCACGGTCGTCGGTGGCTGAGTCAGCGTGGGACCCACGTGGGCCCCACGTGTCAGCCTCTTCTTCTCCTCTCCTCTTCACCTCTCCCTCTCTCTTCTCCATGGGCGGCGGACGGCGGAGGGGCAGCAGCTGCACGAGCGGCGGCCGGCGGGGGAGCAGCGGGGCGAGGCCGTCACCGCGTCGTCGGCCGGATCTCCTCTCCCGCCTCGCGCCCGTTGGCCTTGTCTGGCTCTCCATCGAAGAGGATGCGGCGAGGAGGGAGTTGGAAGAGGGGCGGACGGGATCAGGATACGGCGGCACTCGATCTCTCCGCGGCGGAGAGCGCGGACGGGAGGATGCGGCCGGCGGAGGCGGCGTGCGAGCGGAGCGGAGCGGAAGCGGAGGCGCGGCGGTGGCGGCAGGCGACGCCCCACGCGGCCACCGCCACCGAACAAAAAAACAAGAAGGACGCTTCCGCCGCCGACCGCCGCTCGCCGCACTCCGGTTGCCGCGCCGCCGCTCGTTGCCGGCCACCCTCCGCCGTTCGTCGCTAGCCGCAGGCCGCCGAGCCTGAGAGCCGATGCACGTCGCTGGCCCCCAAGCCGCCGGTCGACGCCGGCAACTGTCCGCCGACCACCGTGCAAGCTAGCCAGGTGCCCAGGTCCAACCTGCATGGCACTGTTACACGAAGAAAAACGGGGAAAGCGCTTACGACGCCAACCGCCGGTCGGCGCCGACCGCCGGCCACCGCAGCCGGACGCCGCTCACCGCTGCCCACCGCTCACCGCTCTTCCGATCAGGACTTCCTGAACTCTATGGCAGTTCTTGCCGATTATATATTCTGGAAATTACATCCTGATTTTTGAAACAATTAGGCAGCAGCACATGGATATATACACATCTACTACTTAACCAAAGTAAGCAGGCAAAAACACAAGATTGGTGGAGGAACTCTGATTGAAATATTGAATTAACCAAAGTAAACGCCATAGAAGCTTCAGTATTGATGGTCCAGGTGAGATGCATTGGCATATGGTTCAACAAGATCCCAGTTTTTACTGTCGTGTGGGTCGCTAATAGGGAGAGGTCAATCGCTGAGCCCGACGTTAACACAGCTCAAAAAATCACAAGAGGAGGCCTAGGAGGTTGCACTCCTCGTCGGCGACGAAGAGTAGCGACGACACCGACTCGATGGCGCCGGAGCGCGTCCCGCTTCTTGCTGGCAAGCTTGGACACGACGAGCGCGGTAGACGCCATGGCGGCGGCCTCGGCAGCGCCGTTCCAGGTGAGCATCTCCACCAGCCGGTCCACCACCGCCGCCGACGTGCCGACCCGTCGAAGCGCGGCCTCGCCGAGCCGCGGGTTTGTCGCGACCGTTCCAGGTGAGCATCTCCACCAGCCGGTCCACCATCGCCGCCGACGTGCCAACCCGCCAGAGCGCGGCCTCGCCGAGCCACGGGTTCGCCGCGACGTTGACGAGGATCCCGACGCGGCCGCGGCCGCCCGTCACGCCATCCTCCTCGCCGGCGGCCGCCCATTGCAGAGAAGTCAGAAGTGAGAGAGAGACGAGGAAGGGAGAGAAAAGGGGAAAGAGGGAGAGGAGGCTGACGTGGACACCTGACATGTGGGCCCGCGTGGGTCTCACGCTGACTCAGCTGCCACGTGGGCTAAAACCGGGTGAAAACCACCGAAGGATCCCGAGTGACCGGTTTTGTATAGTTGAGGGACCCCGCATATCTAGTTTTACGGTTCGAGGACGTTTTTTATCCCGATGACAAATTGAGGGACCTTCCGTGTACTTTTTCCGCATGACCTTCGTCTAGGAAACATCCAGGCCACCACTTGGGCCTAGTGCCTTTCTAGACTGATGGGCCGTTGCCCTACATGTACTGGGCAATATGATTATTAATAATCCATTAATTACTTCTTGCATTCTTCTATTAGTACAGTCCGGTCGTTTTTTTCTTTTCAAACAAACTCAGTTCGGTGGTTTTATTGATTTAGAGACAGAACAATGACGGTGTTTACTCACTAAGAGCATGCATTGGAACTTCGTGCTTTTTCACTGGCAACAAAAGAGCACCCATAATATCCCGGTACACATGATTTTTCATGTAATCAAATAAACCTTGTGTCAGTTGGTTTGGAAAAATTGATGTGGGCATCACTCTTTCGGATACACACAACAATCCTCCAACTGTCATTCAAGGACCGATAACAAGAGCTCGTGCGCGACAATTGAATTTAGAGGTGAGCTCGTTCCTATGTTCTTATTTGTACAAATTCGAGAATAGATTGCTACCTAACGATTATATTGTGATTAAAAACAAGAAGAGGACAAGGAGACACTTGGAGAAAGACTTGGAGCCATGTAGGATCATCGAGGATGTCCAAGTCAAGGTTGAGGCCCAAACCAAGTCGACCTCGGGTGCAATTCGGAGTTTAGGACCAGTCTGTACTAAAATGGACGCCCAGGTCGCATACGTGCTCGGATTGGGGCGTTCTTTATATGGATGGAAATCTAATAAGATAACGTTTCTAATGGTTTTGGTCCCACGTCCAAATTCCTTCCAAGTCAATGAGAATTGACCGAACAAGTTGACGTCCAGAATCTGTCCCGGTGCTGCGTCACCGTATTTGGGCCTTTGGGCCGTGTATCGTATTGGAACCCATTAGGGTTGCGTCGAGAGGGGGTTGCACGACCCTAAACTCTATACTCAGTACCGCTGTTATCTTTAGGTTTTTGGGTTTTGCTTAGATTATTCTGTCGAGAACAGTTTTGCCGCTAGATCGGTTTGTAAGACCCCAACTTGTGAGCTTAATCATTCATCTGCAATTTTGGTTGTTTTCTATCTCGTTCTTATTTGTGTTCTTCGATTGGCAAACATGGATTAGCCTTCTCAGCGAGGTCATCCGTGTTTCGACACGGGTGATAACCAAAGGAGACGTGATGCTACGATTGCAGGGCTCAAGAACGTGCGTGTTCAAGAAGCCGAATCGATTTCTGTCGCGACTCTATCCAAATCGTTGTTTATCAGAACCTTTCGGAAGATCGGGAACCCTAGTGCACATCAAAAATAAATACATGAGCTTCCTTTTAGATAGAGAAAAATGATTGACAAAAATAAAAAATCAATCCATCAACAAAATTTCACACAAAAAAAGTGTTCCATAGCAATTAAAACAGAAGAACAGGGAAAAGAGCAGCATGACAACTCAGTGGTTGAGAACCTTTCAGCTCGTCATGCCACACGCCATCGCAATGGCAACTGCACAAAAAGCAGGTGCTCCTCGAACCAATAGGTGACCTCCACGATGACGGCTTGATAATGTCCTCGCACATAAAATCCTTGCCAATTTATCGCACCCTTCGACCACATTCCCCTCCTCCAACACCTCCTCACCTCTCTCGTTATCTTTTTTCATTGAACGACCACTACTTCTCTCCTTCCATACCATTGTTTTACTTGGTATTGACCATGCACTCTTTCTTTCAATTTTCTCAACTTTCTCGTCCTTTCTTCCCTTCTCAATCATATTTGATATGGCAAAATCACGATAAACCAATCTAAGACATCAAAATAAGGGATAGATGAAAAATATGTAGGCAATAGATGTTAAGGTTCATTTTAGTATGATATGTTTTTCAATAGATAACGAATATTGAACCACAATCAGCTAATGTTTATTGTAAATTTAGCTTTTTCCGTTACAACACACGAGCATTTTGCTAGTATCTCTAAATTTCAACTGAAATGTTCCATAACACTGCATTCCATAACACTGCAAGAGGTGCCATATGGTATCTTTGATACGTAAACTGCAACCCCAAAACTATACTCCCTCTCCTTTCCAAAAAGCTTGTCATGCTAGTATTTTAAAATTTATCCATACCCTAATCTTAATCTCAATTGCTTTCTTTCTTTCCCCGTTTAATAGAAGAGAACTTCTCACTCCTTTGAACTTGTGCCATCTTTTTACGAAAGAGACTTTGTACTCATCGAAACCTAGACAAGTTGTGGTTAAATCAAAAGGTTTAAAGAAGATTTATATCCAAATGGGCCATGAAGACAGAAAACAGACAATATGTCACTCTATATGTGAGGTTTCGATGAAATGTCACGCAATAGGATGCACCAAATAAAATGTCACTTATATGTTGCCTTACGGATGAAATGCTACTTTAGGGAGTTTTAACCATTATTCTATGACCGAAATGCCCATGGTATGAAGAGAGAGGGAGAAGGCTATGTCGGAGAGAGCCAAGTAGGCAGCACCAGAGACCTTGCTAGGAGGTGGTGGGGATGATGGGGGAAGGAGGAGAAAACACTCTTGGCTCTTCTTCTTCCTCCCTCAAATGCCAAAAGAGTCCACCGGCGGCCTTCTTTGAGCATTGGAGGTAGGAAGAAAAAGAGCCAAGGGTGTTTTGGTCCAAGATTGTATATTGATGAAGACATTTTGGTTGAGGGTGGTATTCCAGCGAAACTGATTTAAGTGATGGTATTCCAGCGAATCCAACCTTATGCGATGGTGGATATGCAATTTTCTCGAGGAGGAGATGACGACGGGGACGACGGGATGGAGGGAGGAGGAGGCGATGATGAGGACGAGTTTGTCACGACAGAAGTAGAGCCTCGAATGGACTCGTAGTCCCTGCCACCCAGCCAGCCACTTGTTGCTCGCCGCTCCATCCTTCTCCCTCTACCCTGTCTCATCCCCGCCATGAGTTAACATACAATGCTTTAGTGTATTACTAGAAAGTAGCCGCGGCTTTGCCGCATGCAACAGTAGATGGGCCAGCTCAAATTGAGCGTATGTCTATACCTTAACACTTTAGTTGGGACACGCTAGCCTATGATGCTATCTCATTCGACACTTATAAAGATATCAACATGTTGTTAGCAAATTTATATGCTAACCAAAGAATCCTGAAGTATGAATGTAATACAATACAATACTCGAATAATTAAGCTCCTCTTATAGTACGAATGTTGTTAGCAAACTGAACGGAAGAAGCTGTGGATCACATGACATCCATATTCATTGAAATGTTCTTTTTTCTAGGGGAATTTGCATATATATCGTAGAACTTCTATTTTTTGAATGAAATTGCAAGACTTCTTCTATTACTCAAGTCTATTACATAGAATGTCTATTACATAGGCATAGATAGTTCAGGAGATTAAATGATCAAAGCTTTTAATAATGCCCCATTTTATTTTTCAAGCAATATAAACTGGCTAATGGATGAGTCTAGATACTGAACGCTGCTTTTGTCCATGCATGCAGATGCCAAAAGTTAATGCTGTCTATATAATAATCCATATAGCAAAAGATAGCTTTGAACAGACAAGTTATCAACCAGAATGCTTCTTTTTACCCTTGTTTGAATTAAACGATGATCCATGTCTCCATCATCACTTTCATGCAATTATAATGGCAGAGTGAGTAGAAAGGAAATCTTTTATTTCTTGTCTAGATAAAGAAGCAGAAGTTATATAGTTATTGAAATTAAAATAATCTAATCTTGATGCTGCTGTGCATGATGAAATCTCAAATTCTAAAGAGAGTAGTATTTGAAGTTCATTGATGTTAGGGCCTTAAGAGTCATTTGTTATTGGAAACAATGATGACCTATATGCTCTATATATATATTTTTTGCATTGATCGTGAGGCATAAGAAGTTGCACATAACTCATTGTAGATGTGATTGTATTTATTAAAACTTATAGTTTACTATCCTACATAGTTGCACACAAATTGGAAGTTCACATTGGATTTTATTTATTTATTTTCCTAAATTAAATTTATGTTTTTAAGCATCCAGCAACTTAAAAAATGAATATAATAAATATCCTACATGGTGCAAAAGTACACTATAATTTATATATTAATGGATTAGTATTATAGATGTCGTGGAGGTAGGGATGGTGGCGTTGATAGGTGTGGAGATAAGCGATGGTGGATGGACTGGAGGTTGCAACGGCAGTGGATGGGGATGGTGGATTGGCGGCGTCGATGGGAGTGGAGATACTGACGGCGATGGATGGTTATGGCGGCGATTTTTGGAAGAGATTGGTGAGAGCGATTGCGCTTGTATTGGAGAGAAAGAAATCGGAAGGGGAAGAGACAGGATAAAAGGACCGTCGATTTTTCCAGAGAGGAGATTGGGGGGAGCGGAAGAGGCACGACCTCTCTAGAGTCATGGGGACCTGCGCTTTTTTTTTTTCAGTTTTACATTCAGATTAGATGTACACACGCGTGGGAGTATCCCCGAATCCTGCCGTGCCACGTGGCGTTGGCGTCCGGCCGGGAACGTGCATGGAATTCGTTATTAGAGATTCATCAAATATTGTCACGATGTAGTTTACGTATAGATAGAAGGTTGCAATGTAGATCTAGTGAGGGACAATTATATTGTTCACTAACACCTAATATTGTTCTAGGAATGGTAGCCAACTAAAACTCATTTTAGCGTGTTCTCATCCATCTATCCACATGTTAGATATTTTTGGTGTTTGTATCGATCTATGTATAACCACCACGAACCCAATTTATTTAGGTAATACAGGATTGGAATATGTTCAACCTACAAAACAACAATCGGTGATGATGTGCTACAATGTTTAATCAGAATTATAAATTTCAGTGTCATGATTTACGTAACACCTTAATACCTTGCGAGAATCTGCTAGCGTCTTGACTGCTCCAACTCTCTGTTTAAGGCAGATATGAAAGGCTGAAACAAATAACTGGTAACATCTACCCTATAATTCACCAACTGGTCTTACATCCTTCATAGTTCATTCATCAAATCTAACGGACGATATTTCATCAACGCCCAATCGAACGATCCAGATGATCCGCACACAATCCTTCTTTCCCCACCCCCACCCGCGAGTCCGCGACCCCTTCCCCGGCCCACGCGCGGCTGCGAGCCTGCAACCTCCGTCCCCCTCTCCCTGCGCCTTCTCCCCTAACCCTATCCGCCGTCGCTCCCGCTCTAGCGCCGCCGTCGCAATCACCTTCTCCCCCAATCGTATCTGCCGCTGCTTCCGCTCTCCACCTTCACACAGTCGACCGACGTCAGTAGTCCGCTATCGATGCAGCGTCTGGCGTTTGGATCTGCTCGTCTCCGCCGCCGGTTACGCCGCCTCTCCGTCGATCTCCTACGTGGTCCCGTTTGCTCCATAGCGGACTCCGCCTGCAAGTCCGCCGGCCATCGCATGATCCTGACGGCAGCTAGATCCAGTACCCTGTCCACCCGTCTCTCCTTCATCACCGAGGGACATCACAATCTAGAAAAGGTAGACAAAAAATCGTATGTGGCGTTTGATTACCGGAGATTCCCAGAAATTGTGTGTGAGGTTTGGAAGTTCTCAAGTCTGTTGGTAGCCATTCGTTTGTGTAGCAAGTAAGCAACATTTGCTAGGACAGGGCATTTGTCGTAATCAGGCTATCCCTTGTCGCAGGTTGCAGCTTTCACGAACATATATCAGTAAACATACTGCTGCATTCAATCAACATATTATCTTGTCATCTCCATATTTACACGAGGGATTAGTTAGCTTGTTCAGTGCTGGTATGCTAAACTATAGACGCATTTGATTTTACATACTGCCTGCTGCATGTACCTGGGAATAATGAACATTATTTGCTGCCAATTTCCTTTAACAACCAATTTTCTTCCTTTAGTTTCCTTCAATATTATAATTTGTGTTTGTCTTTGATCTTAAATTAAAATCAGGCCATATGGTTGCATGAAATCAGGCCCATATCAATACTTATGTCTCCATAAATTATATATGTATATATATGTTCTCTCAAATACTTATAGAAGATTAATAAAATGTCATCTTAGGAAATTAATTTTTCTACCATTCCATGTACACTTAGTTCAGTACCGATGATTGAATAGTAGTGCATCTGCATTATTTTATTCTTTCTGTTCATGAAATTCATATTATTGCAGATCATTTCGGTACATGATAACTATTGCTCCTCGAAGACTGGGTCGCCGTTGAAGGCTTTCAATTTTGGCAAGTTCTGAATTCGAGCTCCTCGAATACTGGGTCGCCGTTGAAGGCTTTCAATTTTGGCAAGTTCTGAATTCGAGCTCGATGACCGGGTCCTTGTTGAAGGCTTTCAATTTTGGCATGTTCTGAATTCGAGCATGGTTAGTGTTGGATATTATTTTGATTATTTTAGGTCATTTCAGTGGTGCAAGTAATTCATCTGTCATGGGTGCAATTGATTTACTTAATTATTTTAGAATTCTGTCTACAGCCATAGCAGGCTGTACTTAAACAACTACTTTGTTTAGCTGAAGCAAATCAAACAAACTACTCATCTAATTTCTTCTTTTTATCTTTCTTTATGAAAATACTCCCTCCATTTCACAATGTAAGTCATTCTAGCATTTCCCACATTCATATTGATGCTAATGAATCTACACATATATATCTATCTAGATTCATTAGCATCAATATGAATATGAGAAATGCTAGAATGACTTACATTGTGAAACGGAGGAAGTACTATGTTAGGAACCCAACTATTTGTTTGACATAAGAAATCAGTCATCTAATTTCTTCTTTTTATCTTTTTTATGCAAATACCATGGTATTTCCTTTCAATAAAGGAATTTATGCTATCAGTGCAATTTCTATGTGGTTTCAGTCGTACCTGAACTGCACCTTTAAAGGTGCGCCCCTTCATGATTGCCAGACTGCATGCACAGCCAAGTAAATATATCTGTAGATAAACATAAATTTGAAAAGCTGATAGAACCAAACAGGTAGTACTGTAGGAGCTTGCATGGTCACAAATGTATTAAGGTCCCTATGAATCTTTAGCAGGGTTTATCTTGCTGAAAGGTTGTTTTGTTCAACTTTACATCCGTTCAGATCTTTCCTAATTGCATTAATATACTTCCTATGAATCTTTAGTGTTAAATGCTGCAATCCTTATTATTAATCTACAGATTTTTCCTATTTGCAGGGAGTGCAACCATGATCATTCGCATGACCTGTCACTGACTCACTGTCACTTAACCTGGTGAGCACTGTATATACTATTTTGGTAGCGGCATATATGGTGGAATATTTATAACCTTTTTCATAAACTCTCTCGTGGTAAATTGGTAGGACTTCACTCCATATATTTCCTGACAATTGTTGCTCATTTACAGTATAACAAATATGCTGAAACTATTTCCTGTAAAAGGGACAACAGAAGAATTAATGTAGCTGCAAGAAAAAACAAATTATTAGCCTCTGCTGCTTTGTGACCGGGTTATGTGTTAACTATTGTATCTTTGTTTGGAGTTGATTAGTCTTAAGATCTTTTAAGCGAACAATTCTATTTTTCTATAGCAACTGGGTGCAATTTTTTCAGTCACATTTTACAATTTGATGCAGTGGATGCATGGATGGGCCAACGGTTGTCTTGTCAGATAGATCCTATGGGACTGCCCCTATGCTCATCTTCCTCCATCTGTGGAGCGACAAGTACCTTTGCTATATTCCTTTTTTAGATTTACAAATCAATTCCTAAAAAAAGAACTTCAGTACACAAATGGTCTCTCTGAACCATGAATTTTTCTTCAGTTAAAAATGGAATAGATATACTACGTGAAGAAATCATGCTTATAAATCTCTAATCTCTCCCTTGTATGGCTGAATGATTGATTTGTTTTGAAAGGCATTGCGATAATTATTGTATATTTGCACTGTGGTAGATTCATAATCCATACTTATTTTCTGAACATGTTCACATTGGACTACTTTTTGGATGTTTAGTATAGTGCATGCTGCCATGTACCAGCAGGCATGTGGAGAAGCATTTGTCTTCATAACTTGCAAATATGTGAAATATCAATTGAGGGGTAGTGGAGCGTATATAGAAATTGAGGGGTAGTGAAATATGTTTTTGCAGGAATTTAGCAAATGTTCTCTTTAACAACTGAAACTCATTTGTTGGGGGTTGACTGGGTGTAATGCAACTGAACGAATCTAGACAAATATATTGATTTTCCGGAAACTGTTTTTCATCAAAATATTACGTTGCATTGTCCATATTACCTTGATAGTGTCATGTTGCTCAACCAAATTACCATGTTTACGCCTTTTCTTTTTACCTGATGTTCTGCTTATTTTGCTCTATGGTAGTGATTATATGCAACTACGCCAGTCCTGTCCTCTGCTTTACATTATTCATATTACTAGAGATTACTAGACTGTTTATGTTTCCAAAGAGCAGCAGCGTGCGAATAGAGATATTTAGGTATATGATCTTTGTATCATATATTCATGTATCATGTATTCAGTAGTTAATATTGTGGCAAACTCTTAGGCTGAATCTGGGCCTGCTTGAAAGCTTGGTCCATAGATCAGAAAGGGTTTTTTTGGACCCACGAAAAATACAAGTGTAATATACTTACCTGTGTAAAGAATTTTGATGCTGTCAATCTAGAAAAATAGATACTCTTAAGTAACCAATACAGACCCACTAACAGGGTGGATACCAGGGTGACGGTCGCCTCAGATTCGGAGCTGAGGGAATGGTGTAGGAGGAAGCGGATGGATCGAGCTGCTACACCCCCGCACTTCGCTGTCTCGATGTGCCCCGTCATTGGCCGCTTCGCCATGGCGGCGGGGTGACGAGATTCTTAAGTGTATCACGAATACTCAAAGTTATATTCTATATTGTACCGATTACCGAATATTTTTTTTATTTCTCTATGACCACAACAAATTAATGGAATAATTCTCTACCATTTTTGTCTTATTTATGTGGACATATAGTATCCACATATATTGCTCACGTATATTGTATATTGAAGTAATCGATGGTTATGGATTATTATTTTCAGGCAAATCATATTATTGTTATCTGCCCACTTTAAATTCATATACGACATTGAATCGAGAGGATTGTGCGAAAATTATTTGCCCTAACATGAAATTCTAATATTATAAAATAACAATAATAGCATCGTAGCGTTAGCACGGGCATATTACTAATAAGCCATGGTGGTAAGAACAAACTGAAAAATATGAACTATGCAATTTCAGAATATTGGTAAAACTCTAAACAACAAAAAACAGATTTTATGCACCCACTATTGACTTATAAAGAAAGAACTGAAGCAAGAGATAAGTGGACACAGAGCAGATCATTTTCAGATTTGCATCAATTGCCGGATCAACCAAATTAACACAAACCCTGATTACTCATTTGGAGTCATAAAAATGCCATTCAATGAACCGTGCAGGATAAGAGAATGAAACACGGGGTGATGGTCAGATCAAACTAATTCAGTTACCTGGTGCAAAGTTAATCTCTGCAAGCAGTGATAAAATAACATTCTAACAATGTGAAAGAAACTTCAAGTAATCAGACGAAATTAAAAAATGCTTCATAAAAGATAGAACTAATTGACCGAAGTATTAGAACCAGAGATCACAAGCAACGATTCAAGGATTAGGAGATCTCGAACTAATGAATGAATATGGGCTACCGATCGAGCGAAGCAAATGGTGCAGATATATTCCATCGGTTCCTGCATCGGCTTGTGGATGTGGACGGCTCACCTGGTTGCACTTTATAGATGGGTGTGGACGGCTCATCGAGTCGAATTTTATTCCCATCTAGTGGCCGACGATTCCTAGAAGAGGAAGCGGAGGAGGAGGAGGTGGTGGCCGATGGTTCACACAAGAGTAAGCGGAGAGATGGAGGAGAAGGCGGAATGGCGTGGGGAGGAGAAGCGCCCGGGGGGGGGGGGGAGGAGGGGGGTGGATGAGAAGCGGCGTGGCTGGGATGGGGGAAGTGAGAGCGGCGCGGGGATGTGAGGAGAAGCAAGAGCGGCCGGTGGCGGGCCCGTGCCTGGCGCGTGTGCGGGCGGGTGGGGACGGACGAAGTAGCGCGCGATTGGGGAGGAACCGCGTGCGGTCGCGCGGGGAGAGCGACTGGCGGCGGGCGCGCGCGGGGGCTGGTGGGGAGGGGAGAAGTCGCGCGCGCGATGGGGGGAGGACCGCGCCCGGCAGCGGCGGTGGAGGATTCGGTGGCTCGGTGGAGGGAGGCAAAAGAGCTGTGGGATAAAACGCATCAAACCCGTTGGAACCATATGATCGAACGGTTGGGATTAAAAGGGTGACGTGGCTTCACCAGAATTCAGGAAAGTCCTAATAACTACACTGTTTGAATCCATGGGTTATTTTTTAGCCCTCCCTCAAATAGCCCCAAATCTCTATCTCTACTATTATAAAAATTGAATATGTTTTTGCCAAGATCTTGATAAGTTATCCGAATCCGTATGTGATTCCTTGCATATATCTCTCTGTCTCTTCCCGATAGCTTCGTCCGTCGCCTAGTATTGGATATAATTGATCAGTCGGTATCCGACCAAACAGCTAGCAGTTGCAGCTCGTTCAATTACGTTGTCCGTCTCCGATCTGTAATAGCTTCCTTTCCAAGAAGCCGAAGCCCACATCGGATCGATTTGTCAATCGTCCGCCTGCCGCCAGTGGCTGCCGGCCTACACATACGTCTATACATGATCGGATGGATTTGTCAATCGCCCGCCTGCCGCCAGTGGCTGCCGGCTTACACGTACGTCTGTACGTGCCCTGTATAGGCTGCAACCTGTAATACTGTTAATGGCTTTGGATCACGTTAATTTTGGACCTATTTGGCACAGCTCCAGCTCCAGCTTCACCCCTCATGGAGCTGAAGCCCAGCCAAACAGTTTCAGCTCCACCAAAACTAGGAGTATAGTTGGGTAGAGCTCTCTCACAAAATGTACTAGAGTTGTGGAGCTGGATTTAGGCAGCTCCACAACTCTACTCTAGACTCAACTCCTGTAGCTACTAAATTTAGGAGTTAGAGCTGTACCAAATAGCCCCCTTAGATTGCCAGCAGCCCATGGAGTGATTTGGACTGAACATGTATGAAGTTGGTTCAGATGCTGACGAACAAGTAATAATCACACTTTTTCTTTGACGACCTATCTTTATGTTGTACAAATGGTTTAAATATTCCATGCCCTCACCAATCAAAACAGGCATAGATATTTTTTTAGAAGTAAATTTCATTTTGGACCATCTTTATTGACCAAAATTTCAAATTGAGCTAGCGCTAGGCTCATGTTTTCACTCAACACCATGTATAGTTAACATTGTTTGCACTTTGGACCTGGTTTTATAGTTACCATCACATGAGTTGTTGTCTTGGTGCTTGTTTGGCTGGAGCTGGAGCTCAGCCAAACAGTTTCAGCTCCACCAAAATTGGGAGTGAAGTTGGGTGGAGCTCTCTCACAAAATGTACTAGAGTTGTGCAGCTGGGTTTAGGCAGCTCCACAACTCCACTACAGACTCAATTCCTGGAGTGATATTTAGGAGTTGGAGCTGTACTAAATAGCCCCTTAGATTGCCAGCAGCCCATGGAGTGATTTGGACTGAACATGTATGAAGTTGGTTCAGATGCTAACGAACAAGTAATAATCACACTTTTTCTTTGATGACCTATATTTATGTTGTACAAATGGTTTAAATATTCCATGCTCTCACCAATCAAAACAGGCATGGATATTTTTTTAGAAGTAAATTTCACTTTGGACCATCTTTATTGACCAAAATTTCACATTGGGCTAGGGCTAGGCTCATGTTTTCACTTAACACCATGTATAGTTACTATTGTTTGCACTTTTGTCACACCCTGAATTTCTCCTCCTAAGCCTAAAATTGAATTTATAAATCACCCTAAGAAAATACCGGTGCAAATCAAGAGAAAACCTTAATAAATTAATGCAAATAATAATCGGAATTGGCATGTGTAATTTTTCTTGAGTTCTACATGTCGAAATACGCTAACAAGATTTTTAGTGGAATTTTTAGAGCCCTAGAAATAATTTTAACCAATTAAAATTGAGCACATGCAATTTTAATCCTAGGAAAAATCCTTTTTCCCTTCTTTTTCCTTTTTCTTTCTTTTCTTTTCTCTCTTTCCTTTGAATGGGCCGCCGGCCCATTCCTCCTTTTTCTCCCCCTCCTCCCGCTGGGCCAGCTGAAGGCCAAGGCCCAGCTAAGCCGCACGGGCCGGCCACCCGCCTCCTCTCACCCGGGTCGCTGACAGGTGGGGCCCACCTGTCGGACCCGTCTCCCACCTCGCGCCGCGCCGCCGCGCCCGCAACCGCGGCCGCGCCCACGCCTCCGCCTCCTCTGGGCCACGTCGGCCACGCCCGCGCATGCACCGCACCTCCCGTGCCCACTTCCCTCTTTCTCTCGCCCGCGCCCGCGCCCGAGATGGCCGGGATTCGATTTTCGAATCCCGCCTCTCTCTCCTCCTCCACTCCCCGCGTTGGCCGGCGGAATCCCGCCCCTACCGGCCACGTCCGGGATTCCCCTCCCCTATTTAAGCTCCACCGCCACCCCCTCTCTCTTTTTCCCCATTTTCGCCGAACTCTCCTGAGCTCTCCATCGCTCCCGCGCCGTGCACCCACCCGCCGCCGCCTTTCCCGCCACTCCGGCCGCCTCTAGCCGCCGCTAGACTCGCCGCCACGCCGCGCCGTCGCCGCCGTCGCGTTCGCGTGGCCAAGATCCACCCCGTCCGCGCTTCCTCCGTCGAGATTCGTCGCCGGAACCCGCATCCCCTCGCGCTCCGGTGAGCTCTACCCCTACCGCCGCCTTCGGCCATGGATGCCGGCCGCCGTGGTTCGTCTCCCTCCCTCTAACCTCTCTCTTTTCCTCCCTTAGGGCATTCTGGACCTCGTCCGCCTGTCGCCGCCGTTTGCCCGTGGTCGCCGTCGCCGTTCGCCGTCGTCCTCCTCCGCGCCGGCCACTCTCGGTGAGGCATCCCTCTCTCCTCTATTCCCCTCCCTCTCCTTCCTAGCCGCCGCTTAGCACCGCCGCCTTCGCGTCGCCTTCGCGCCGCCGCCTCCGCCGCTGGTTGCCGTCGCCGGTAACGCGTGCGCGCGCGCGCGCCGTCGCCATCGCCGTGGCCGGTCGGCCGGCCTTGAGTCGAGCTGAGCCGGGTCGCCGCCGCCCGTCCGATCGGCCCCGGGGCGATCTAGGCCGTCGGTCCCGTGGACCGGCGGTGGACCACTCGCGTGGTCCCGGTCCACGGTGGACCGGCAGCCTTGGGCCGCTGACTCGGGGGCCCCACTTGCCGGCGCCCCTCTCTCCCCTTGAGCCCCCCTTGAGCCGCTGACATGCGGGCCCCGCCCGTCGGCGCCGCTGCCCCCTTGATGACGTCAGCTCTGGGAATTAATTGACTTTTGTTATAGTAATAAATAAAGTGAATCTTCTAAAATTCATAACTAATTCATCTGTGCTCCGTTTAAGCCCATTCAAGTCTCAGTAAATCAAGAAAAATGTGTAGAATCCATTAAAAATGGTTTTGTTCTCTGTTTCAGTAGTCTTATAGCCTGTTTGTATTGTTTGCTTTGTTTGTCGCTTAGATTCCGGTTCTTCCGACGCTCCGGTGTACTTCGAAATAGTCGCCGAGGTTCCTCCAGCAGCAGAGCAAGGCAAGTCATGCTTGTCACTTGAACATGTTGATCCTATATTGCAAATGCTCTATTGTTTTCTTCAAATACTGCATCGTTTTATAATGTTACTATGGGATGTTTACCTATTGTCATAGCCATGCTATTGTTGTACCATGTTCCTTTGTTAGCTTGGGTTATAACATGAATAGACTTTGGACTAGGAATTGCTTAGCCATGCTTAGTTCAACTAGTACACAATGGGGAAAATCCTATTAATGTTTAGGCTGTTAGTTCTAATGGTATTG